ATTTATGAAGGGGTTCAGGGAAACCGGCAGGCCGGACTTGAGTCCTGGAGATGGGAAGTACAGTGCCTGCACTCTGAAGGAGGGGTGTTAATGTTGAAGTTTAAAAACTGTAGTGTAAAGCACCCTTCTGGCAAGACAGTGATGGAGTGAATGATGGTGAAAGTTTTTCTTTTTCGGGCCACCCTGCCTTGGTGGGAATCGGCCGGTGTGATAATAAAATAAAAGAATAATATATGTATATATATATATATATATATATATATATATATATATATATATATATATATATATATATATATATATATATATATATTAGAAAAAATCTTTATATATAACATTTATATTTATTTTAACCATTTCATAATTCGTATATATATATAAGAATTATAAAGAATGTCTGAAATTGGTACATCATCAGTCTGGTGTATCAGTGGTGGAAGGTTCATGTTGTCACATTAAGACCTAACTGTGACGCTCATTCCCTGTGAACAGAGGCAGGTGAGAGAGAGAGAGAGAGAGAGAGAGAGAGAGAGAGAGAGAGAGAGAGAGAGAGAGAGAGAGAGAGAGAGAGAGAGAGAGAGAGAGAGAGAACAAGAAGGGGAAGAAACATTGATGTGTGAGGGAATGAAAGAGAGGGAGAGAAGCAGACTAGAGGAATTACAAGAATAATAGGTTACGTTCATCTATTTCAGGGAGTGAGTGCAGATACAAACTATGATATGCAGAATCCAAGATAGCTCTCTAGTCTATCATCTCTATAGGTATACATACATATATATAATGTGTGTGCGTGTGTGTGTGTGTGTGTGTGTGTGTGTGTGTGTTTTGTGTGTGTGTGTGTGTGTGTGTGTGTGTGTGTGTGTGTGTGTGTGTGTGTGTGTGTGTGTGTGTGTGGTGTGTGTGTGTGTGTGTGTGGTGTGTGTGTGTACACCAAACGGGGAGTAGAATGAAATTAGCTCAGAGGCACCCACACCACCGTATGTCCTCGGATGACAGTAAAACACCTAGCTCTGTTTGGTCCGCGATTCTTGTAGGATTGCGTGGTCCCTTTTGTTAGAGCGTCATGTGTGATTTTCGAATCCTCGGTTAGTCGCAGTGCTGTTACTGATTAATACCACTCGTTCGTGGTTAGAATAATATATATGTACACATACACATACACATACACATACACAGACACACACACACACACACACACACACACACACACACACACACACACACACACACACACACGCATACACACACACACATACACATACACACACACACACACACACACACACACACACACACACACACACAACACACACACACACACACACACACACACACACATATAAATTCTCCGTCTGTTCGTTTGTTATATCGTTTTTGAAAGGAAATGAACTCTTGTAAGTGTATGGAGACAACTCACATGTTGGCATAAAAACAAATGCAAGAAATTAGCTGAATTTTCAACCTATAACTGAGGTACCCCTCAGCATAAGATATGTTAAAGACAGACTGGTCTGGGGTTATATTAACAATGAAATCACAGACATGTGCAAGAGAAACATTTAGCTGAATGTAGTTTTCTAATATTAATTCTAAACTTTAATTCTCCGTCTAGTCATTCGCTGGAAAATGAGAGAAAATCACAAATGATAATGACACGTACCAGTAGTCCCCCTCAAACGGGATTCATACGAGCTCCAAGCGTGTTCCAATTAGTCTGTAGCTGGATTATAGGAGAATTAAGTTTCCCGGAATATTCCCTGCGTTTCCAGGTGTGTTGCTGGCGTGTCCATAAACGGGTTACGCACGTGTCCAATGAGATTTCAATGGTATTAGAGGAAGAAGTGGGTGGGATAAAAGTTGCTCTACTGTGTTCCCCCGGCTCGCCACAAACACTTTCCAGGTTTTCTGACGCAAGAGAAGCAGCGAAGAGTTATTTTTTTTACACGCCACAAGAGTACATTTACAGTATCTGTTGCACTTTATCCTTCTAGGAAGGGAAGATGAGCGCTTTGATGGCAGAGGATGGCATGGCACGTTGAGATTTAGTGCTTTCTGGAGAATGTAACAATACTGACCTTTCACATCATCACTGTAGTTTTGGAACACTGGAAATAACTTCCGTACCTGAGTTGCTGTCACTACGCAGGCACTTTCTAGTGTTGTTACTTCACAAGTCCTTTCCAGTGTTTCTGTAACTTCAGAAGCACTTTCTAGTATTGCTGTCATTTAACAAGCCCTGTCCAGTGTTGCTGACACAACACATGCACTTTCCAGTGCGGCTGACACATCGTATGCACTTTCCAGTGTTGCTGACACATCACAAGCATCACTGGAACTTTTCAGTGTCTGCGATGCAGCGTCCATAACCACGTACAGCAACCTATTTTAGTGTCCAAAGTATACAAGTGAGCCACGTCACGTTCCAAACATTTCTCCAAAGTCGTTCGTCCGTGTCACGTACAATAAAAAAAACTCCCTAGGTCCATGCCACGTACAAAAATTATCCTCCAATGTCAGTCAGTCCGTATAACGTACAGAAATTCTACTGCCAGGTCCGTTTGTCCGTGCCACGCACATCATTCTTCTCCTCGCAGCCTCACCGACATAATGGAGACGAATGATACTGTTTTGATTTGAAAAATCCAGCGGAATGTTGTACTGGCAAAACTTACCATTTTCTTCTTCAAATGAAGGTTTATCTTCTAGATTATTGTGATCTTGATAATTTTCTTACTTCAAGATAATTATTTTGATAATTTTCTTACTTCAAGATAATTATCTTGATAATTTTCTTACTTCAAGATAATTATCTTGATAATTTTCTTACTTTCTTCAAGGAAATTATACTGATATTATTTTCTTTTCTTCAGGATCGTTTTATCTAGATAATTTTCTTACTTCAAGATAATTATTATCTTGATAATTTTCTTACTTCAAGATAATTATTATCTTGATAATTTTCTTACTTCAAGATAATTATCTTGATAATTTTCTTACTTTCTTCAAGGTAATTATACTGATATTTTTTTCTTTTCTTCAGGATCGTTTTATCTAGATAATTTTCTTACTTCAAGATAATTATTATCTTGATAATTTTGTTACTTCAAGATAATTATTTTCTTGATAATTTTCTTACTTTCTTCTATTATACTGATAATATTTTTTTTTCTTCAAGATAATTATTATGTTGATAATTTCCTCACTTTCTTTCAGATAATTGTTATGTTGATAATTTTTCATTTTCTTCATGAGTATTATTCTTTAGATAATTTGTTTTATTTTCTTCAAGGTAATTATTATCTTGATATATTTTTATTTTTTTTAATTATATCGATAATATTTCATTTTCTTCGGGATAATTATTATCTTTTTTATTTTTCTTCAATATAATTAATATCTTAATAATTTGCATTTTTTTCTGAAGATAATTATTTTCAAGATCATTATGATCATGATAATGGATTTTTTTTAAATTATTTTCTCAAGATAATTATTTTCAAGATAATTGTGTCCTTCTTTAAGCTAATTATTTCAATATAATTATTGTTTTTAAGATCATCTTCAAGAATAATTATATTCTTCAAGAAAATTCGTTTCTTTGAGATTATCTTCAACAAAATAATTTCTATATAATTATTATTATTATTATTATTATTATTATTATTTTTATCATTATTATTATTATTATTTTGAATAATCAAATATCAAATAATTACTTTTTGAAGATAATTAGTTCCTCCCTCGAGCTACTTATGGTTTTTAAGCCAATTATGATCTTGAAGATAATTATTGTAATCATAAAGGTAATTACTTTCAGGCTAATTACCAAGATAATTATCATAAACATGCAACATTATTATCTAGATAATTAAAAAAATTTTCTTCAGGATTATATCTTCAAGGTAATATCTTTTTCAAAGTAATATTTTCCTCAATATAATGTTTCTTCAAGGTAATGTCTTCCTCAAGGTAATATTTTCAGTGTAATATCTTCAAGGTAATGTCTTCCTCAAGGTAACGCCTTCAAGGTAATGCCTTTTTTAAGGTAATGTCTTTTTTAAGGTTTTATCTTCAAGGTAATGATGCCTTGATGTTTTTTTTTCTTTCTCTTTTTTTTTTTTGCCTATCATTTCCTGCCTCTTCTTACCATATTTAAATTTCATTTATTTTTTCTTTCCTTCTTTGAGATAAATATTACACTTTTCTTTACACAGTAATAGAGGATTTTGTGATAATTTTTTGCCACAGGGATAAAAATTCATGTAATGTTTTCTTAGTCCTCTCAAATCAGTTTTGTCCTGTTTTCCCGAATAAATAATGTTTTATCTTTCACGAAATATTCAGTTTTGTTCTTAAATACAATGTAGGTCTTGTTTCCCAGCAAATGAAATATCTTGTTCTTTCAAGACAAACTTTGTATTCGGCTTAAAAAAAAAAGATACTAATTGGTGTGTGTTTCTTACACGACTGTTAATTGCTTTGTTTTTCTCAGTCAAACATTACTCACCTGTCCTCACCCTCGACTGAACACCAGCTTCTTGCCCTCGTCCTGCCGCCTTCAGCTGATGCACATCGCAGTCCTTTTTGCCCCCTTTTCTTCTCTTACTCGTCTTCTCTGTTTTCCTCAACTTCCTCGTCGTCGTCGTCGTCGTCGTCCTCCTCCTCCTCCTCCTCCTCCTCCTCTTCCTTAGGCAATATAAACTGGTATTGTAGTTCCTCCTGCTTCAAAGTTACTTTCAGAACCTTTGTAATTTATCCTGCTTTTAACTTTTTTCCTCTTCTGTTTTGCATTTCCCTTCTGCTGTCCATCTTCGTCTTTTATCTGCTACATCCGTGTAACTATCCAGCGCATCTATCTCTTGCTTCTGTTTACCAGTCCCCTGCTTCCATCTAATTGTTTTGTACTGCTGTGTATCTCCTGCTGGTATCTGTCTACTATTATCTAACTGCTACTGCTATCTAGCCAAGTGGTGTGTGTGTGTGGTGTGGGTGTGTTTCAGCATGAGCTGGTGGTGGAGGCGCGTGCAGGTGAGGCGTGGAGCCAGGCGCGGGTGGTGGTGAGGGTGATGGATCAAAACGACCACGCCCCCTTCTTTCCCAGGGCGCTCCACGAGACCCAAATCACTGAAGAGGACGACAGACACCTACCCAAGGTCATCCTCAAGGTTAGTAATAAGTTCGACCTTAGGCGTTCAGGTGAGGAACTCTGATATTTTTAGAGATACTGACGTTCTTGAGGATTTTAGAGTTCGTTGAAGCGCTGAACTCCTGCAGGTCATTCAGAACAAGGTCTGGTTGAGGCTTCAGCTTCCGTCCTTTACTTGCAACCTAGTCTCTCTCTCTTTCTCTCTCTTTAATCGGACCGTTGGTGATCGCCACTTTCTTTTTGAGAAACCTGGACGTTCAAGCAAAAGAAACTGGATATTCTTCCGATGGATATCAAGCCGGTGAGAAGTGGCAAATATGGCTGCGCCCCACAGAGTACTAAAGCATCATAAGAAAAAGGAGGTTGGTGGAAGACAGAACTCAAATAGACTCAAATGAGAAGAAAGCTATACTGTTTTCCATGAAGACTTCTCATTCTTTTCTCTGAGACACTGTCTCCTCACGTGGCCAGAAGTGGCACAGTACGTATACATAAACAACTGTAAAATCAAACATGCATTATTAAATGGCATGCGCCCTCGTAAGTAAATTTACATTTAAATTAAAGGAACAGTTTGGTAATCCCGTGGAGTGAGTGTGTTGCAGGGAGCATTCTACACAGTCAACTGTTGCGCGTTGGCCTCTGCAAGCAGCTTACTGCACTACTATTGTTGCTACACTGACACTGCAGAGAGATTATTACACTGCAGGAGGATGCTATCCTAGTGATGTGACTCCCACTCACCAGGAATGCTGTCCCAGTGATGTTACTCTCATCTGTCAGAGATGTGACTGTGTTCCTCACCTACCTACATTCTCATCATCTTGGTGTAACCAGGGAACACAGGACATTCAATGAACCTTCGCTTTACTCTGAGTAAACTTGCTTCACAAAAGCACACGTTCAACGGCCTTTGATGGTCAGTCTTTGTGTCCATAACTCTCTCGTGCTATATTTTGACACAGCTAATATATGAATGACATCTTATATACACTATCCTGTGGACAGTATCCTATGAACAGTAAGTATCCTATAGACATTGTCTTGTGGACAGCATCCTGTTGACATGATTTTACGAACAATTCTCTACGAACGGTAGAGCCCAGTTCTAAATGTCACTCAAAAGCCCAGTCATTTTTCTACATTGTATCAACACAAAGTAATCAAATAATTGTTCTTGTTATTTTTACCCAGCCCTCACCCCTCCTGCCTCCCCTCCTTCCTTTTCCCTTTCCCCCTCCTCTCCTTCCTTCTCCCTTCCTCCCTCTTGATTCCCCCTCCCTTCTCCTGTGTCTTACTGCCAGACCAATCATGTGAGATCGTGGAGAGTGAGGATCTGGGAACGACAGGCAGTTCATATTACTCTTATATATTTGTGGTGAAGCCTTGCTAGAGGAGGCGGTGAGGAGGAAGGCAAAAAAGGAGGGTAAAGAAATGGTGGAGGAAGAGAAGAAAGACAGGAGCGACAGGAGGAAAACATCCGCTCTAGTTTAGGTAAGAGGGACAAACCTTCACTGTCATTCTGTACTGACGTATTCTCTTTCCTCCGGCCCCTACCCAGCACGGCGGAAAACCTAAGTCCCGTGTCTCGTGGTGCGTGTTTGTATATGCTGGTACATGCATTATAAGCTTATTCAACCATACTCACATTTTTTTGTGGTACTAGCTCCTGGTTTCATGTATGTACATGCGTATATGAGAGCGTGGATATACGAATATGTGAGAACACGTGTGTGTACTCACTTGCAGGAGTCGGGCCTAGTCTCCTGGTCAGGCGCCTCTCTCTGCTTCTCATAAATGGTCTCGCTGTCCCAAGGCCTCGTTGGCTCTGTCATGCCTACTCCTAAATTTGTGAGCGAAACCTGCTATACCCATCCTCATCCAAGTCGGGACACCTTGTTAAGGTACTTGAATGCAGTGTTTAAGTTTGCAAGACGTGCATACCCCATTACTGTATTTCGGATGACTTACGCCACCAGTGATGTACTTGTTGTCTGATGATTCTAGCCTCACCAGGTGTTCCGCCGCTCCTTGTATTATCTCCTCCATCGAGGATATCGGCTTGTATTTCTATGCGTTAATTTATTTAATTGCTTGACAAACAGATAAACTTTTGCAGTTTTCCAGCTTTCCGGACTACGTCGTCTCCATCCACTTGCTGTACATTTTCTCCAGCGGTTCAACAGTGCTTCAGCTCCCTCTCTCAAGACTCTAGGAAGTACCTCTTTTGATTGCATTGCATTTGATATATTCAATTAAATTAGCAGTGTCTTTTCTCAATCCTATAACGTGGCTATATCCGGTCTCCTGTCTCCACTCTCTTCTGCTTTTGTATCACCTTTGTTTATTAGGTGAATACTTTCTTTTAAATGGTTTTAGTTCCTCACACACCTTGTTACTTGGCAGTTCTCCTTTTTCCATCTTAAGTATTATCAACTGGGTATTTACTCTCATCTTGTGATTGTTGTAGCTATGGAAGGAATGGTCCCAAATCTGCACACAGAAATCACTCCCTACGAAAGTAAAAGACTGGGCAGGCGATGCAAAATGCCCCCAATAAAAAGTAGGGGCGCCATTGGTACACTAAGGGAAAACACCATAAGTGTCCGGGGCCCAAAACTGTTCAACAGCCTCCCATCAAGCATTAGGGGAATTGCCAATAAACCCCTGGCTGCCTTCAAGAGAGAGCTGGACAGATACCTAAAGTCAGTGCCGGATCAGCCGGGCTGTGGCTCGTACGTTGGACTGCGTGCGGCCAGCAGTAACAGCCTAGTTGATCAGGCCCTGATCCATCGGGAGGCCTGGTCATGGACCGGGTCGCGGGGGCGTTGATCCCGGAATAACCTCCAGATCCATCCTCCATGTTGAAGTTTTGGTTCTGACTTTGCTTTTACTACTATTATTCTCTTCTTACTCTCGTGAATTAATCTCCGGTTCTCTAGCTTACTTTTCTAGCGACTTGTGTCCTCTGTTCTTCTATTGATTCCCAGAATCTGGTGCTTCTTATCCTTCACTTCTGTTCAACTATGATTGAACAATTTGCTCTCTTCATCTTTTGCATTTGTTCTTTTGATAATAAATTGTCCCTAGGCCTCTCATTACCTTACTGTGTACTCCATTTATTATCCTGCCGTTCTTTCCAATTCCACTTCCCACTGGAATGTATTCAAGATTTCTCTTAACACATCATCTCCCTGGGATGTAGCTTTTCACTCTGTTTCCATGCTCATTTTCAGACTAATTTCCCTACAGGTAATCAACGCAAAGCTTTCAATGACCATTCTGTCCTTGCAAGGGCTTAAATTCCTTTTTCTTCATTTGATTTGTTATCACTGCTTATCTTTTTTATTTCCTCGAAATTCCTCTGGTTTCTTACAAGTACTGCCAATTCTCGAGCTACTTACTCTTTCCTCAGTACTTGGTATCATAGTGATATTATTGCATAAGATATTTACTTTGTTTTGTCTCTGTGATAGCTATGATATCAGTTATGGCCTGTACCACACTCTTATATTTCACTTCTCTTGTATGTAGTCTCAGCTGCACTAGTGTACCAAGCCTTCTGTTGCAGTTCCTGGGTCCTGCATTGTTGCAAGCTACTCTGATGGTGGATGAAAAGGGAGCAGGAGGAAGGTATTTTACTCCAGTGGGAATGATTAAAAGTTGCTAGAGCTCTTAAGATTGGGGACTCTTGTTCTATTATAAGGTGAAACGGCACTTGGGTTGAAATGGATGTCGCTTGTTGGGGTTATGTGGGGAGAGGAGAGATGAGCATAAGTTAGGGCAGCGGATAGAGGAGAGCTTGTGTGGAAGAGAGGGGAAGAGGCGAATTGCGTGGGAGAAGAAGTGTTGTTGTGAGGGGTAAGTGGGAGGGTGATGTAGGTATTGAAAGATAACTGGCAAGGCAAGGGAAAAAAAAGGATTAGAAACACGTGAGAGAAATATTAATTGAGGATGATGGGTAGAGATGAGGGTAAACATAAGTTGAGGAAGCATGGAGGGCCAATAGAGGTGGAGTTAAGAAGAAAAGTTGGGAAGAGTGTTTCAGTCATAATGAATGAGCATGATGTTGTGAAGTTGAACTGTTGGATGGAAGTGCTGTTGAAAGAGCAAGATTTCCTTGCTTTCCGTTCTCACTCTTCTTGTGTGCTTCATCCTTCCCTCCTCTGTTTCGTCTAATTTTAGGATCCCGTTGTCTTTTGAAGTTATAATACATTTTTCTCTTCAAAAGTTCCATCCACGTCCAAGGAAGATCTTTCTATATCTGTGGAAAACCTTCAAAGACATATTCTGTCTTCGTGCTTTCCCTCTTGATAGCTATTGTGCCATAATTATTTTGTCTGGCCCCTATCCACAGCAGCTTCTCCCCACTGGTAAAAATTGTCACCTATCCCTTCACCTCTGATTCGCCTCTCATGTGTGCCTGAAAGTAATTAAACATATGTACATGCCGAGTTATACTCACCGAGTTGTCTGTGGGAGTCAAGAAACTGCTCCTGGTCCCGCCTCAAAATTTCAAAAATTGTGTGGCGTTTGCTGGTTTTTGATCTCCGGAATGCTATGGTTTCTGCTTACGGATCTCTTCATTAAGCTTATTCCACCAATTTCCGTCATATACGATTCTCTCTTCGTGTTTACTAACCAATTTGCGTTTTTTTGTGGTCTAGTGTTAGCTCCTGGTCCCACATATAAACTTAATATTGAGGGACTTACTGGCTTCATACCAATTGTGAAACACCATATTTACAATACAAAATTTACATGTAAATTGTTTTCACGACTTTCTCTTTGATTTTATCTTACTTTATTACCAGGAGACTTAACAAGCATTTCCTGACATCCCTTGACGGGTAATCAGTGTCTGCCTACCACTTATGTCCCCTTGTTTCCTATCCACTCATGCTGAATAGTCTATCGTTTATAATGCACTCTACTACGGTACTCAGATAAGAGTATCTACTTCTGGATGCCCGACTTTTCCTCAAAGAGGAAAAAATGGTAGTCAGCACACTGACTCTTGGGGAAATTCGACTCTCCTGTAGCCAGAGGAAGTGAATCAACAAACAGAAAAAAAACACCATCACCAAAGAAGCTACGATGCAAACATCAAAGGACAAACACAGTCACAGAGTTGAAGTTCAAGTGCTTTAAGTTTTACTAAACATACACAATATTTATCCATTAAGCAGAGAGTAACATAAACGTACTGAACTTAAATGAAAAGATCTTATATCCAGAGGCACACAGATATAAAGTAGTATTAATAAAATAGGTTAAGATATACATATACAAGTACAAATATATTTGCTAACGTTCATATGACATGGTGTATATTTAGCAAAAACAAATTACACTTGTAAAGTTCGTAATTATGTGTGTGTGTTAGGTGTCACGAGAGAGAGAGAGAGAGAGAGAGAGAGAGAAGAGAGAGAGAGAGAGAGAGAGGAGAGAGAGAGAGAGCCATACATGACACGACGAGAAACTTGTTTACCAAAACAACCCATTTATTTCCCCTTTCCCTCCCTCCTTCCCCTCCCTGCGTTCAAAAATAGCCATGTAAACAGCAGTTATTTTTTCCCCCGCTAAGCTTCAGAAAAAAAACACCAGGCAATTTGGTCGCATGTGTGTGAGCGATGCTTCCTTGACATTTTAATTTTCACGGAACAGAATGAGAAAATAAAAAGGGCGGAGCTGCCATATGAGTTTCCTAATGTGTGAAGTTGGTCTTTGATGTTGCTGGGAGAGGGAGAGGATATTATGTCAATGGTGTATGTATGTGTGTGTGTGTGGTGTGGTGTGTGTGTGTGTGTGTGTGTGTGTGTGTGTGTGTGGTGTGTGTGTGTGTGTGTGTGTGTGTGTGTGTGTGTGTGTGTGTGTGTTTGTGCCTATCTGTATTTGTCTCTGAATTTTCATTATTTTGTGGGATGAATAAGAGAGAGAGAGATTAATAGTAGTAAAAGTAAGAGAGGAAGAAAGCAGGACGAGTAGAATGCAGCTTGACATTCACCAATGTGGGTCTTCCACCATCAGCATGTGAGGGCGGTGGACGGTGACGCTGGCGTCCACGGCCGCCTCTCCTACAGCGTCGAGGGCAACGGTATCTTCAATAACGGCTCCCGATCCTTCTTCGCTCTCGATACAGCCGCTGGCACTATACAAGTGCTCAGGGTGAGTCCACGACAGCAAACGGTGAGTCAAAGGCAGCTAAGGGTGAGTCAAAGCAGTTAAGGGCGAGTCAGAGCAGTTAAGGGTAAGTCAGTCAAGGTGAGTCACAGCAGTTTAGGGTGAGAAAAATGTAGACTGTTTTCCGTAAGCTTCTTATTAAGAGAGCTTACTAATAAACATGAAGTTTGATGAAGAAAAAAACAGGGGAAGAGCAAGCTTTTGTTGTGATATTTCGCTCAGTGTAGAGTTTTCACAATAAAAATACTGAGTACCTTTATCCTGAGTAGTGTTGCGCAGGATGTTTCCTGGCTGTATGACTGGTGTTTTAGGTTGTGAATTTATTGCCTTTTTGACAAAACAATTGCTGATGTGTGTGCGTGTGTTATTTATTCGCTTGAGCGGCTCGATGTTGCGTGGTCAAGGCCATGATGGTAGTGCCTTGAAGGACACCCTCCCTACTAATGTCAGGTACTTGAACGAGTATCCAAGGAGAGCAACATATCCACTTATGTAATGATCCGGCTCCGGCTGGGCTAAGTTAAGTATGGAGAAGCAGTTAGAGGCGCAATGTAGAGACCTACCTGCCTGATCTCAGAGGACAGTCCGGTGATCAAGACTGTTGAACCTGTGCAGGTTCTTGCCTTCATTCATCGCAGTGACCTAGCGGAGACCGTGTCTGCCACTGGTTATTTGAACCAGTGTTGTGGCAACATTTCCCAGTGGTTGCTGGAGCATGGGAGTGAGGAGGGTATTCGGTTTCTGAATCCTGGAATGGTCGTGGTTGGGAGGATTAAAAAAGGAAAATGGGTGGTGTTCCAGCGAACATTAATTCACTGGTACCTCATGTTTTACCAAATGAAACTTTTCCTTTACATAGATCTTGTGTAGAGAGACCTCGATGCACAGCAATATGTTACCATCTCAGTATAATGTTTGAAGCCCAGAAGCTCGGCCGCCAAAGAAAAAGTGAAAGGCAACTCAGGACACTGGTGATGTATGTAGCATCACTTTGATACGGCCCACTCCTGTACTGATGTGTTGATACTGCCCACTCATGTACTGATGTATTGATACTTCCCACTCTTGTACTGATATGTTGATACTGCCGACTCCCGTACTGATGTGTTGATACTGCCCACTCCTGTACTATGTATTGATAATCCCACTCTTAGTAATATGTGTTGATACTGCCCACTCCTGTATGATGTGTTGATACTGCCCACTTCTGTACGATGTGTTTTCCACTTCCATAATGTGCGGGTGCTACGCATTCATGTGCTTTTGGGTTAACTAATCCTTGTCTGTGACATTGTTTAACTGTCACATCTGTGGGCCTACCATTGTAATAACGGGGCTTTAGGGGTTATACTAAACCTTTGTCTAGTGAAAGCAAAAATATAAACATATACAAATCATACTATGTACAACACTTGTAACAACAAAAAAGACTATTAAAAAAAACCCATATACACCGGTACTCTAAAAGGTATGAAAAACAACATGTAAGTAAATTCTATTTTAACAGTACTATGAGTTACAAAACCACCCTTCCGCTTAATGCAAAAAAACACAATATTATTTCTGTCTTCCAGTTACATCCCCCATAAGTAGGCCTTTTGAAATATCCACAACAGTGGGTGAGAGTGAAATTTATTTTAACTGTTACTGTGAGTCTCAATAGCCTCACCCTTCTGCCCGCCTTAAACTGCAGGCAAAAAAATAAACTATTATTTCTGTACTCTCCAAATCTTAAACAGACCCCACATACATACCAGGGCCATTCTCATACACTCCATAACACCTTGTTCCCACAACTACTACCACGACACGGTCAAACTAGTGATGCTACGTCATATAACTCTCTCAACTGGCCATGTCTTAGACACGTCCGTTTTCAGAACAATCCCCGTTCACTAAGATTATGGAGCATTTTCAATAAGCTTATATTAAACTATATACACACACTTTTTTATTTTACAACAATGCAGAATCCTACATAATAGCGGGCACCCACTTTGTTCCCTCAATCAAGTATAAAGTTTGAGAGAGAGCTTAAGACTTTCCTAGGCAGTGCCTGTGTGACTGAGGGAGTGAGTCTTCAAGGAGGAACAGTGTAACCATTGTTCCCCTCTCTGCCGTGATGTAAGAGGGGCTTTTCTATCTAAAGGAAATTTCCAAGAACTACCTGCTGGCTCGCTAATGTCCACTGCAAGATGCGAGCAGGCCAAGTTGATTTACTAGATCTCAGATCATTATTGAGAATTATGAAAGCTAAACTGCTTGACATTCTGTCACATTGAGAATAACCAAGTTACTCTTACCCTTGCCAGCTACCCTTAATGAAGGTGCCCAGGAATAAGGCCGGACAAGCCTAATTTTGAAAATACCCTGAGGCCAATCTCGTGTTAAGCTCCAGTCAGAACACATCAAGATGTGTTTACTCAGTGGGGAGAGCACTAGGGAGCCCAATTAAAAAGACGACATTACACCATTCATGGGGCTATAACCTCTCCCAGTGGATAGTATCGAGACTTACAAAGCGTTATTACTAGCATTTTCTGGACTAAGCCGAGACTCGTCCAGCGTTCAGCCACCCTGCCACTGGTCTTATCTCCTGTCCAGGGAACAACTGACCTTGCCTGCTCGCCTCTGTGGCTGTCTCCAAGGTAGACGGAAGGTTGATGGAGGTTCTTTAGGTTTAGGCCCTATGAGGATACATCTGCCAGGGAGGCCTGGTAGAGGCACAGGGAAAAGTGGGCAAATGGATATATGACTTCCTAATAGATCCCAAAAAGTGATAGTAAACGGAGTGAAATCGGTGGCAGCCATGAAAAGTACTGTTCCTCAAAACACAGTACTTGCCTCACTTCTCTTTCTCATTCTTGGATCCAACATAGACAGGGGCACAAATCTAGAACCGAATCATGCTTCGTAGACGATACTAAAACCCGTGTGAGGGTGATATCCACTAAGGACACAGCAAACCTTCAAACTGATAAAAACCAAGTCTTCCATTGGGCCGCTGAGAACAATATGACGTACAAACTTGTTTCTCCACTGATGTAAAACTGAAAAATTGTAGATTGAAATGGAGTGCAAAACAAACGTTAATAATTCAGTAGAGCAGAAGTTCAATATGCCAAATCATACACTCAGGGACCACAATGTTTTTATTGCAACTTCAAGGAAAAGGATAAGTTTCATAGCTACAGCATTCAAAACAGGAGATGCCGAGCCAGTGATTATGCTTTTCAAGTCACTGGTTCTCTCTCTAAGCTGGAATCTAGCTATACATTATACACTAATGACAGAACTGGAAAAAGTGCAGAGAACCTTTACTGCTCGTATAAATTCAGTCAAGCATCTGAACAACATGGATTGCTTGAAGTCCCTTGAACTATACTGTTTGGAACGAAGGCGAGAAAGCATCTTAATTTACACCTGGAGGCATTGGTCCCAAGTTTGCACTTTGGAATCACTCCATGCGAAAGCAAATGGCTTGACAGGTGGTGAAAAATACCTACAGTGAAAAGCAGTGGCGTGACGAGTACACTAAGAGAAAACTCAATAGGTGTAAGAAGATCAAGACTTTATACAGTCCCTTCATGCAGAATGGGAAATACCAACAAACCCATAGCTGTCTTCATGAGGAAACCTGGTGAGTTCTTCAAGTAATTTCCAGTTCAGCTAGGCTATAGTGCATTCATTGGACTATATGCGGTTATCACCAACAAACAGCCAGATCGATCAGGCCAGCAATCGAGAGGCCTGGTCTGCAACCGGGTTGCGGGGGCGGTGACCTAAATCGACTCGAGGTAATCTCAAGGTAAGAGTGCCTAGTGATCTTCCTGGTCAAAGTGCTCTTCAAATTTCAAAACTGCTTACAAAAAAAGATGAAAAAAAATCTCCCGACATCCTTGTCTTTTCAACATCGCTTTGTTTTCCTCTTCACTTCTTTCTTTGTGTCATTATTTATAAAATATCTTTCGGCAACAATGCCCCGGGAATTCTTACACCTCGGAAGTTTTTCTCAACACACCTCCCATTCATTTCCTTAAAGGACTTTCATTTTTTCCTTCTTTTCACTTCCCTTCAACTCATCATCCTTGGCAATAACCCGCGTTCATCTCCACTGAGAATATTGCAGGCATCAGGAGCAACATTTTCACTTCACAGCCCGACACAACACCAGCCATTATACCACTTTATCAGCGTCTCTCACTCCACTACTTCCTTACCTCCCGTTCCGTCCTACCTCCTTCCCTGAGCCTCTCCTCCTTCCAGTCAAGTTGGGAGTCATATCCTGGGCAAAATGCCAGTGGTTAAAACAACTCTAGTCATCCTGAAAGGATTCAAATGCCGAGTAAAAAAAGTATCAGCACATTGCGGTGCATCAAACGATGGTTGGGAGGAAAAATGCAAGACAGATAGGATAATATAAACACACTAATAACGGGGAAAGTCTTTAATGCACAACGTGACGTTCAAAGAAGTGCTTTTATTAAACTTGAAAAAACTAACCATTGAGCTAAACGTTATCTAAATAAAAGCCTCGCTCTGCTCTGTCTTTGTATCAAACGACGTTAATAAAAAAATCCATCATTACCCGGGTACTTTAAATGTACTCTCACAATAATTATTAAGGACTAATTGAAAAGAAGACATCTGTTTTAGAAAGTTAACAGCGAAGAGATTCATAACTAAAAAGACAGTGTAACTGGGAATCATCGGTCTGAAATCCCCGGGAAATACACAGTCATTTCATTGATAATCGTAATATATTGGAAATCTTGAGACTGCATCTGCCTTGTAAGTCAGGTAAATAAAGTAATCATTACGTGGTACTGTAGCCCATGATATAAACCAATGTCTTCTTTAACATTATATCTATAATCTTGAGAGCATATTCAAATGTTACGACTACTAGATAACTAACGACAAAATAATGTAACTCTAATCAATGAGGTGAATGTATTATTTAGAAAAGGTCGGATAAAGACCCA